CGAGTGGAACACTAATTCATTGAGGCTGTTATCTCAGGCATATAGGTTGGAGAGCAGTGAAATCAAAATTAGCTAATCAAATGTGCGAAGCTGAAGTCGTACTGCAACCGTAATAACAGTAAGGTATTTTTCCTGGATAACCAGGACCTGAAGCAGTTACCTGCTGGCAATGGGAGAGGTTGGAAAAAGCACTCTGATACCGCATACACGAAGTAGTCCTACGGATTTTCGGTGTTGACAGTAAAAGCATTCCAATGGATTCAAATTATTTGATGAAATAATGTCTTTAATTGTTGTTCTAAAAATTAACTTATTAGGCAGCTTGAGGTTACAAACGAAACAAATTTTGGACATTTTTACAGTATTATTGAATGTTTCTAAAAAAGCATTGAGTTTTTTATTAGTATCTTTATTTAAAACCTCAGCCTGTAGCTCTTCTAGGGCTACTGATGATAACAAGCCCACATAAAGGAGGAGCATTAGGCGTGGGGTCAGCAACTTCATCCCGTACAAAACAATCTTGCTAAAAAAAATCCAAACCAGAATACACAATTAAAATCATCAAAATTTCGGATTACAAGTTGAAGAAAGAGTTATGGCGCCTCATGATGAAAGCCGAGATACCTCGGAAGTCACGAGGCCTGTGCCCCTCATAACAACCAGAGCAACAACCTTTATAGGTACATGGAACGTCTGGATAATGTGGGAGACCAGGAGGACCAGTCAAATACCAACGTAAATGAGCAGATACAACTTGACGGTGCTCAGAATCAGCGAAACTCATCGCATTCACGCTGGACAGTAAAGGTTAGGTACGGGAGATGCTGATGTACTTCGTACACGAAGAAAATGCTCCGCACATTCAGGAAGTTGCTCTGATTCTGCCTAAAGAAGTACGAAATGCACTTATAGGATCGGAATCTCATGGATCCAGGACCACCAAAGCATCCCTCAAAACAAAGAATGGAATCACGATGGAAGTTGTACAATGTTATGCACCCACCGATGATAGCAACGATGACAATAATGAGCAGTTATGCGAGAGGTTCAAATCAATTATAGCGAAGTGTTGAGAAAAAGACCTGACCATCCCAAAAGGGAGAAATAAACGCCAAATTCCGAATGGACAACAACGGATATGAAGATATCATGGGATGACATGGACTAGGAGAAAAATACGAGAATAGCGAGAGATTTGCGAACTTATGTGCATTCAACAAATTGGTTATAGGAGGCACAATATATCCAACACAAACGCATACACAAAACTATACGGGTTTCACCGGATCACACTACTAAAAAACAGATCGATCATATTTCTATATATAAAAAGTCCAGAAGGACAATGGAAGACGTAAAAACCCGGAGAGAAGTTGGCATACCTTCAGATCACCACCTGGTGGTTTTCAAGACGAAATTGAAGCTAAAGAATTGGTAGACAACTGAGGAAACAGTATTACAAAGGTTCAATACAACCTCCCTTCCACATACTGACAAACTCAACCAATTCACGATAACTCTCAACAACACGTTACAAACCTTACAAGATATACTCGAAGAAGAAACTACGATGGAAGGCAACTGGAAAGGGATCAAAGATGCATTAACTTGAACGTGTCAGGAAGTGCTGGGCTTCAAGAAGCATTATAACAATGAATTGATCTTTATCGAAACCCTAGAAAAGATTCAAGAAAGGAAGAGCAAAAAGAGTAATTAACAAAAGCCAAATACGAGCAGAAAAGGTTAAGGCACAACCTGAATACACAGAAGCAAACAAATAAGTAAAAAAGAGCATTAGAACCGACAAGAATAAATACGTGGAAGAGCTAGTGAAGACAGCGGAAAAATCTCCAAGAGGAAATATAAAAGAACTATATGACATGACGAAAAAACTGGAATGGAAATATAGTGAACCAGAGAGACTGGTTAAGGAAAACGATGCAAGCCAATCACTGAGATTCAAGAACAGAGGAGCAGATGGGTAGAATACCTCGTGGAACCGTTGAATAGACCAGCTCTAATGAATCCACCGAACACCGAAGCAGTACATACAGACCTTCCTATCGATGTCACTCCACCAACGACCGAAGAAATCAGAATAGCGATCAGACAAATCAAGAGCGGGAAAGCAACAGGACCCGACAATATACCAACTGAAGCACTGAAGTCAGACATCGAAGTAACTACAAACATACTTCACCTTCTATTCAATAATATTTGGGTGGAGGAACAAGTGCCGATGAACTGGAAAGAAGGACACCTTATCAAGATTCCAAAGAAAGATCTGGGCAAATGTGAAAACTACAGAGGCATCAATACCAGGGAAAGTCTTTAAGAGTTTTGCTGAACCGGATGAAAGATGCAGTAGACGTCCAACTTCGAGATCAACAAGCTGTGTTCCGTAAGGATCAAGTGCTTACCCTCCCCCTTTCCCTTTCTTCTGGTGATTGAATGTATTACGAAGAGCTCCATATGTCAAAGGAAGCACGAAATACAATGGACAGTTTGCATGTGGCTAGATTACTTGAACTTCACAGATAACCTAGCTCTTCCATCGCATACACACCAACAATCGCAGATGAAAACAACTAGTTTAGCAGCAACCTCTGCATAAGTAGGGCTCGACATACACAAGTGGAAAACCAAGGTCCTTACATACAACACGGAGAACAGCAATCCAATCACACTTGATGGCGAAACTCTGGAAGATGTATAGTCCTTCACATACACGGGAAGCAACACCGATGAACAAGGAGGATCAGATGCAGACGTAAAGGCGAGGATTGACAAAGTAACGACAGCATTCATACAACTGAAGAACATATGGAACTCAAAACAACGGTCTGCAAGCCAACATGAAAGCGAGAATCTTCAGCAAGAACGTCAAAAAGGTCCTACTGTATACAGCGGACACTTGGAGAACCACCACGACCATCATTAAAAATGTACAAGTATTTATTAAAAGTTGTCTACGCAAGATACTCAATATCCGTTGGCTGGATACCATCAACAACAGCCTAATATGGGAGAGAACAAACCAGGTTAAAGCTGAAGAGGAAATTAGGAAAAGACGTTGGAAGTGGATAGAACATACATTGAGGAAATCGTCAAACTGCATTACGAAGCAAGCACTAACTTGGAATCCGGAAAGGAAACGAAAAATAGGAAGGCCAAAGAACACACTGTGTCAGGAATCGGAAGGAGACATCAAATAGATGAATAGCAACTGGAAAGAAATGCCCAGGCCAGAGTTGGATGGAGAATGCCGGTGAGTGGCCTATTCTCCTCCATGAGGGGTAATAGGCGTAAGTATGTTTATTTAAAAGAGCTTTGTAGCTTGATTCTCCACATAAAATCGATCAATGAGAAGTTAAATAAAAAGAATGATCATTTTAGAGTCCCGTATATAACACAGTAGTTTAAAAAGTGGACAAACAACTATGATTAACGAAGCTTGAAAAAACTACTGAAAACTATAAGCTCTGGACAAATTACAACTAATAGCCAATTCGCTATTTCTGTCAGACGACAATGGATTCCACAATCTCAGAAAATATTGGTAAATATTCTTTAGTATTTATCACATAACAATTCTTAACAATTCTAAGATACTGGGAAAATCAATAGTCAATAAGAAAGAATTATAGCTTAATCTTTGTAAACTGAATGATATTACACACTTACAAAGCTATGATTAAAGATTTCCATAGATTTATTCAACACTTAATTATTACAACTAAAAACGGCGAGACTATAATTTATGGACGAACCAATCAGATGTAAGATAACGAGTCACCAATTCGGGCGCGGAATTCATCCATACATTTGGCTAAATAGTGTTTTGGCATTATAGCTGATGTCAGTTCGTGATATAAACCCTAAATCTAATTTTTAATCCTAACCATCAATTGTAAATGAGAATTCTAACTGCTTTATAACCTTCATTTCGTCTTAATTAGTAGTTGTTCACTCTCAGGGTCACTTCAGGGTCACTCAAAGGTCATCCATTAATTATAGTCTCACCGATTAGTCTTTTATTGGCATATGTGCATCTTTTGCATATTGCCTTAATTTACAAGCATTATAAGCAAATATATAGATAATGGTTAGCAATGGAATCCAGGACGCGCATTTCATTCTAATTCTGTACTTGCCTGAGTTGATGAAGTTTAATAATATTTAAACAAAAAATTGGTCAAAATGAGTGAGTAATATTTCTAAATAAAGTCAATCTTGGTGGAGTTTTGTTCTCTGAGCTGGATGGTTTGGCTTGCTGAAAACCTTCGGGATAGGTGTGGCACACAAACCAATAAAATCACAACAATCAATCCTATGCAAACCAAAAGATGAAATAACAAAGGAAAACAAATCAAACATCATCTACAAAATAAATTGTACCAACTGCGAAAAACACTACATCGGACAAAGCGGACGCTCCCTCCACCTACGTCTACATGGACATCAATTAGCAGTCAAACGCCATGATATCTCTTCACTTATGTCAATACACGTGGATAACTACGGACACTCATTCGATTGGGAAAATGTAGAAATCTTAGACAGAGGAAACTCTAAAAACACCAGAGAATTTTTAGAAGCCTGGCACTCAGGTCAATCAGCAATCAACAAATATATTGAAATCAATCCAATTTATCAACCAATCAGGAAAATCATGCATAAATATAGGAACAAAAATCAAACCAATGGGAGACACAACCAAAACAAAGAAGTAAACAATGATAAATTTAAGGTCAACAAGAACCAATGAACATCGAGGTGCACAGAACAAGCTGTGAAACACATATGGAGAAATTCGAACACTTCACTTCTATCTGAAGTTTGTGCTGATGATGTCGTTCAGAAGAACGATGAAAACTCCCCGACCAAACCATCCAGTTCAGAGAACAAAACTCCACCAAAATCATCCACCTGAGCTACAAATCTTCTCCACCATCTCAAAGTAAATCTTATTCTAAGAAAGAAAAATAAAAAAACTAACATTCAAACATAAAGTATATTACATACAAGAGATTCTCTCTCTCTATGCATACTTACATTTAAGAAATGAATCACAACATGAAACGGCTTATTTATTTTTATCTCAATAATAAAAAAACTACAATCAACCGAAAATATAATTTATTATTGTAGTTAGTTCTTCATACAGAAATGATATATATGTATACCTGGTAACCAGAGGGTCAAAACAAAACTAATGAAACAGAATAAAGTATTACAATCGGTTTGAGACACATATGAAATGATACATAACTATCGGGAAACAAAATAAACAAACAAAAATGCTTTGAATAAACAGGGGAAAAAAAGAGAATCTATCTAAATAAATAAAAATATAACTTGATTAATTGATCAAGTATAAGATCAACAAAACTGGAAGTACAATTAGACGATGAATAGGTAGATAGATAGATAGGTAAGTCAGTCAGTCAATCAGTAACAACGTAGAACTTTGTACGTACGTACATCAGTTTGAGTTGCCACACCACATTAGCATAGAGATGCAGTGGTCGATTCAAATCCCGTAGTGGTAGAGGTAATAAGAGTATAAGCAGTAATCGGGAAGATTAGTGTTTGAAGATGTTACTTAAAGAGTATAATACAGTGAAATAAATTTGAGAGGAGAAAAAAAGAGACAAGGAGGAATAAGGAGATCAAAATTTGGGAGAACACACAGGTAAGTAGGTAGATATATACACACACAAAATGCTCAATATAGCAGTTAAAGAATAGTGAAAAAAAATGTGAAGAGAAGATATAATTCAATCGTAGTGTAGTGAAAGTGAACACAAGTGAAGGACAATCGAATGTATTTGAACACAAAATTACTAGAACATCCTTAGTCAAATCTAAGAATCATACAATAAATACTTCATATGCAATATATCAATCAATTGTCTCAAACTTGAATGTTCCCTTTTGTAAATATCAGTCTGTCTTATCAGATTTCATTATTCCTGCATTTTTATACCAATTGCTTTCTGTTCACGTTCTGTCTTTCTCGATCTTCTAAGTCCTGACTATCGTTATATCCTACTCATGTCGATATAATTAGCACACACACCACCGTATTACCATCATAAGTCCAACAACAATAAACTAAGATTATATTGAATGCAATAAAATGATTCAATGTATAATTATGCTGGAAAAAAAACTATCACTTTTACAGCAATGAATAATTCTGATACTCATCTATTTAATGAATAAATACAACCAATTCATGAGAATTCACGCAGCAGCAGCAGTAACAACAACAATAACAAAAAACAAAGTTAAAACCAATAAACTGTAAACTAAAAGCAAATTACATGTACCATATATATTCTAAAAGAGAAAAAAATTGTGTTTTTTTTCAAAAAAAATTCAACGGTATCATTAGCATTAGCACCGAACTACATCACAAGGTAATCCTTCATCACTTGGATTCCTCAAGGCTAAATAAAAGAGATGAGGAAGACCAGAGAACACATTACGCCAACAACTATGAGAAGAATGAACAATAATTGAATAGAATTAGAAAAGAAATCCTAGAACAAAATGGATTAGAGAATGCTAATCGGTAGTGACCTATACTCCATTGAAAGTAACAGGCATAAGTCATTAAGTAATTCACGGTAACATTCAATATTGATTAATGATGTTGACAATAATTACTAATTCACCGCACTATGTTCAAATGTAAACAAATTGTAATTGAGCAGTAAATGATAAAAAAGAAGCAGAAAAAATAAAACCCCTTTTTTGTATACTATATACAATAGTTATAGTAAATTTTAATAAAAACTATATTGACCAATCTAATAATTTCTTATCTACATCATTATTATTATTAGTAGTAGTAGCAGTAGTATATATTGGATATTGATTATTTAATTGTTCAATTTGATAGATTTGCCGCCAATCAACAGATTTATTTGAATTGATAATAAAACCAGGTAAACCAATTAAATCAAGTAGATTACGCCATATACCATGATCATATGGACGATTGTAATTTGTAGAATTATGAAACTTTTCATTAGATAAAGACATATTATTATTATTATCATTATCATTATTATTATTAATATGATTGTTATTATTGGTATTAAATTCAACATATCTATCCATATTGATACGTTCATTTGTTGTTGCATTTAACCATACCATTTGATAAAATTGTGAACCAAATAATAATGTTGTCCAAAATGAATAAAAAGCAGCATTTATAAAACAGAATGTAATCCATGGATTGCATAATAGATATGACCAAATGATTGTAAATAGATCTATCATTTATATATAAAATAAATAAAAGAAAGTATATTTGTAAAATATTATATAGATATTATATCAGAAGGGGTTTGTGGAGATTTTTAGAAATTTTCACAGATTGAAATCATGAGTCAGTTGAAGCTAGACCACCATTGAAAACCTGGAAGCACTGGACGGCCGTTTCGTCCTAGTATGGGACTCCTCAGCAGTGCGCATCCACGATCCCGCACCTCGCGGGGCTCGAACCCAGGACCTACTGGTTCCTTGCGCGAGCACTTAACCATTAGACCACTGGGCCGGCATCCAACGGTGTTAATGTCTAACTTCAACCAATCCACGAAGTTGCGCCACCACTCGCGCGCGAAGCTTAATTCATACATCTCCAAAGTCTTGAATTTCAATATTATCTAATATACTTGAATAAAGAAAGAACAAATATCTTAGCAGAATAACATGAATTCATTTCGTGGATTCTCCTCAGCTGCTTACAATCTATAATCCCAATATTAAAGACGAAGACGAAACAAGTGCGCATACTTCACATTGGAAACTTCTGGAATATATGGAGTTAGTTACGTGGAGATAAAATAATACTAACGGACAATATTATGATAGAACTAACATTATTTAGACGTTCGCTTATTTATAGGTTAAACATGAGAATATTCTAGAACAGTATGGAAACAGAATTATCGGAGTCAAAAACATTAAGAAATATTATTTAGAAATATGGAATAGTTAAATAAAGCTCAGAATTAAGAACCAAGATATTAGAAAACTTACGTAATAGTCTCATGAAAACGGAGTCATCAGGGAAGAAGAAGACTGATAACTTATATATATATATATATATATATATATATATATATATATATATATATATATATATATATTATTTATTTATTTGAACACAAATATTGGTACAAGGGGCCACCAGAAACATATACGCCACACTAAATCTTTTTACTGCAAGTTATAGCAAAACACAATAAATTTGAATTTCTCTGTTTACCGATTATTTTAAAAGACTTCGAAGCAACAACATCAAATCCACATTCGAGCAAATAACGAGGAACTGCATTGTGGAAAACCTTCTGCAAGTTTAGTTTCAGATTTTTTGTAATATATTCGGAGATGTACGCGCCATAGCACAAACATTGAAAAAAACCACAGAGGGTTAGTACTCATTATGTTTAGAAACTATATTTGAGGTGGCCAAACAACGGACCACGTAATTTCATATCACCATTTAGACATACATGTAAAAACTGTCAAAAGTAAGATAACTTGAGAAACTTTAAATCGAATGCAACTTAATACTACAATCTTTAAGAAAGTTTTCATTGAACATATTGCGTAATGCTTTAAGTTGGTCATCATTAGTTGGATTGCATTCTGTTTATTATAGACTAACACACTAATATAAAGTGATTAATTTCGTAAATTTAACCTTATTTTGCATACATTACATTCTGTTGTATTGTGTTGTAGTGTGATATCCTTGTCAGTTTTTATTTGAGTCAAAATGAATCTCAGTATTTCACCCAATGTCTTTTATACTTTTTGCATTACTAAACGTAATAAGAATCATAGCCATATGATGATCTCAGTTATAGTAAAGTATTAATAATTACATAGATTAAATATAAAATACTTATGGTTAACCGTTTTTATTTAAGGTAAAATTACTATATTCAGCGACAACCATACACACACACACAAAAGATCCAACATACGGCAACATTATTAATAATGGAGGGAATTTCTAAACAAACAACAGAAATAGTGTTGGATCTCCCATTTATAAACTGAGCTCTGGTATTGAAGTAAACTAACTAAACGCTTGAAATTCAACCAGCAATGAATATGCGGTTTAAAAACAAGCCAAAATAGTATAAGTAGGAGTATCAGTGATGGTAAAGAAGATTGAACATCCAAAATATGATTAGAGAAGAGAGAATAAACTTGAGAAATAGGAATTATAAAATAAATATGAAATTCAAGATCTAAGAGAAGATAAAGAGAGAAAATGCACCTGCACCATTGGGAACGATTCTGAACCACTAACTCGTCTAGCGATTTGTTATGCTTACCTATTACTGTGCAGTTAACTTCAGAACTGCTAACTTGATGATCCCAAAATATACGAGAAACGCTTCGAAGACACCTATGATCGAATGCTAGGGGTGATCGATACGCACGACTACTGTAATTTCTATCATTAATCCTGGTAGTGATGCATATCAGTGCTGAAGCAACATTTTGCATTCACAGGGAGTGAAACTCATCCCAAACATGTTCACATTGTTGCTAAAGTTTTTCAAAAGACTGTGTACTTTTACCAACATCTCTATCAAACAAAACTATGTCCTCTGCATATTCTAATTCAGTAAGTGGATCTCCTGATAAAAGATCAACCTGTGGAAAGTCAGACGGTAAAACAATTACCAATGAAAGAATGTATAAAACAAATTTACATAAAAATGAAAAAAGCCGACAGTTGAAGAACACCACCTATCAATTCCGATTACAGTTCGCCGTAAGCACTGATATGTCCAGTGTTGTTTGAGTAGAGAGCCTGTACAAAGTTTATGTACTTCTTTGGTACACCTCTAATAACTAAACATGATGATCGCATGAACTTCAATCAGGTAGTTTGTACCTATCCACAAGGCTCAGACTATTAGTAAATGACTTCACAGATTAATGTCATGAATGGTTCGACAGGCCCTAGCTTTCTTATTTCGGAGGACATCATGAATCGATGTTAGGCATATGTACACATAAAAATTTTATGAATAAACATACCAGTTTTCCCAGATGTTAGTGGTGTATTCGGTAGACAACTGAATTCATTTTGCCAATAAACAATAGTACCCAACATAAATAGGTTGCATGAAACACTGGTCGATAATAAATATATAATAAAATAAAAATGATTCTTCATTCCAACACAATTATATATCCATGGACAATGATGGTCGAATCGTGCTACACATCGATCACATGTTGAACAATGCTTTGATCTTAACGGTTTACGTATAAAACAAGTTGTACAGAAACGTTGTAATGGATTGATTGATAATGTTGATGACGAAGATTCTTCTTGATTGTTATTTGCTAATGTTAAATCATTTGTATTATTCAACACTTCATCAAGTAATTGAGCAATAGTATCTTGTTGACATTCTTTTTTAATAATTTCATCTACGTAGCCAGGATTTTTTGTACAGCATAGAATAAATGTTGTCCATAGCATAGTAATAAAGAATAGAAACCAGAAATGCAACACCCAATGATTCGGTGTACGTAATGTGATGTGAAATAAATATGTTGTAGTTAATAACAATTTTGTACTTGTTGCTAAACTGAACAACATTACAGCCTTATTCAATAAAAAGGAAATGAAAATAAACACATACTATGAAATATATATATATACAAATGCCTTATTATACAGAAACAGTTAATACATATGTAACAAAGAATTAATTTTAGACATTCAAGAAAATATTGACAAAATGAATTTTGAATCATTTACGTATTCAAAACTCGTAAACTCAACCTTGTGTGACATTGTTTTGTGTGCTAGAGCTAGTGATACGATCCAGTTGGTCATAGCAGAGTAGATAAAGCGATAGGTGAACCTATAAACTATTGAATGAAAATCAAGCCCCCAAATGCCTTTGTACGGCCGAGAGTGGGGAGAGTCAACTCTCCCTCTCCAAATGCTCTCACATGGCCACGCGTATATAGCCTCCGACAGGGAAGTCCTACTCACTGCCTTCTCGCGGCATTACTGTTGTTTACGAAATTGAGATGACGTAAAGCGAATGTCCAGCGCTTTAACCGGGTTGGTGGACACGGAGAGTCCACCTAGAGGAGTTGGAAAACCCAGATTTCAAACCAATGTTCCACATGGTCTCCAAGATCTTGAAGGAACAAATGGCGTATGAACCAACTACTGGTCACCGGCTACCATGGGACTGCATCTCCCCACGATGCTCCACTGCCTTGTGGATCAGACCTTCAGGTCGAAGGCTCCGGGTGTGGTTTCCTAGGAAAACCAACTGCTTCAGTTTGGGCACCCGAGGAGTATCACAGCCCTCGCACATATCAAATGAGATTTGTGTGGTGCATATGTATTTCGTGCCTCCTTATACCAATATCTATGTGTTAAAATAAATAAATAAATAAAATAAAGTACCTAGGACATAAATCATAATGTAACCGATCTGCCAAGTGTACGTTCATACACTCGGCTCAAGTCAAACATATTCGGTGTGATGGTTGATTATACGATTATGTTTCTTAAAACAAAGTAGGGGCGATTAGAACTTGAAAATAACGATGAATGAAAAACAGGTGCCTTAGCCAGCATATTACCGTTTTTTCATGATCGGGTGGTACCAATGATGGTGATGGATAGCTTTGGAGATTAGACTGTCAAAATCTTTTCGTTCATCTCTAGCTACCTCTGTTGTTAATTCAAAATTTAGCTCTTAGAGTGTGTTTATCAAGAAGTAAGTTCAGTAATCAAAACAAAGCACCTTATAAAGTTTAATACACTGGATATAGGAAAAGATTTCACGGGACCTAATCTAGTATCACATCACATAAACTTCATTTTCTAAGCATTGCGTGTATTAAGTTTGCACCAAAAAAATATTTTCAGATTATGACTTAATCGCCAAGGTGGAAGAATGTATTTGTAAAGTCTCAGAGACTGGATTCAACGACTCGTTCGGCAATATATATATATATATATATATATATATATATATATATATATATATATATATATATATATATATATATATATATATATATACAGTCAGTCAGTCAGCTACAACGTAGGACCAGGCACATATGTGCATCGGTCCAGGTTGCCATACCTCATTAGCACAACAAGATGAACACCGGATTCATAGGAGTGGTTAGGTCAAAGGTTGCAATAAGGATATAGTATAGGAAGGAAGAATTAGTTCGTAGAAAGAAAGATATGAAGTGATTTTAATCTCTTAGTTTAAGGGAAGACAGGGAGTGTATACACCGACGCCATTGTGATCGATTCTGAGCCATGTCACCAAGAGTCTCCAACCATTGGTTACGAAAGTCACGCGGACCCCAACCAAGTAGTCTGCATCTACCAACATGGCTAAGACTAGAAGTTAGTGACTTCAAGCACTGATGCCACGTTTTGGTTTGGCCGCCCCTAACTTTTTTCCAACCATCCCCTACACCGGTTAGCATTGCACGTCGTGGTAATCGGTGTTCAGGCATACGTAATACGTGGCCCAACCATCTCAGTCGATGAAGATTCACAACCTCATCAACTGATTTACCATCGTTACCTAATACCCTGCGTCTAACCTCACTATTACTTACCCGGTGATCCCAGCAGACGCCAGCAATATTTCTAAGGCATCTGTGGTCAAATACTTGTAGCTTACGGGTGTCTTCTACTCTTAAAGGCCATGTTTCGCTGCCGTAAAGTAAGACAGAACGGACTGCCGCGCAGTATACTCGTCCTTTTATTGATAGACGGATATCTCGCCTTCGCCAAAGGTGACGTAAGTTGGCAAAAGCCAAGCGAGCTTTTCGAATCCGTGCTGAGATTTCGTCAGACACCAACCCATTAGGGCTGATCAGACTTCCAAGATAAGTGAAGTTGTCAACGCGTTCGACTACTTCACTCCCTATCCTTAGTTTAGGTGTTGATGCAGACCAGTCCTGAAGCAACAACTTGCATTTAGAGGGAGAGAAGCGCATCCCAAACATTCTGGCATTGTTGCTTAGTGCTACCAGAAGACTCTGCATTTTGTCAGCGTCTTCACCAAACAGGACTATGTCATCTGCGTATTCTAAGTCGATAAGTGGACCTCCTGGAAGGAGATCAATACCCGAGAATTCAGTCGACGAGAGTGTTATTTCCATCAATAGGTCAATGATGAAGTTAAACAAAAATGGAGAAAGTGAACAGCCTTGACGGACACCACTTGAAGTTGCAAAAGTAGATGACAGTTCGCCATAAGCCCTGACTCGACTAGTAGTGTTCGAGTAAAGAGCCTTCACAAGGTTTATGTACTTCTGAGGTACGCCTTTCAATGACAGACACTGCCACAGAGTCTCGCGGTCTACAGAGTCAAACGCTGCTTTTAAGTCAAGAAAGACCACCATCGTCGGACGCCGATAGGTATGCCTGTGTTCTAGAACCTGACGAATGGTGAATATGTGGTCGATGCAGCCACGACCAGGTCTAAAGCCAGCTTGGTTCTCTCGAGTTTGTAGTTCACGAGTCTTAGTTAGACGTCTGATAATTATCGAGGCCAGTATTTTAGATACTATGTTTGTTAAACTAATCCCTCTGTGGTTGTCACAGGATGATTTTGACCCTTTCTTATATATTGGGACGATAAGTGATTGCGACCAGTCAGATGGGATAAAGTCTAATTCCCAGATCTTAGCTAAAATATTAGTCAACCTAATCGCTAAAATTGGACCACCATCCTTAAAGACCTCTGGAGCCAATCCATCTGGACCAGCTGCCCTTCCTCGTTTCAGATTAACTATAGCCTTTTGAACTTCAGCAAGAGTTGGGGGACCTACTTCAATGTTCCATTCACATTGTCTGGGAATGGAGGGTAGTTGTAGAGTAGCTGAAGGCCAGCTGAACTGTTCTCTAAAATGTTCCGCCCATCGTTCTAAACGTCTGGACTGGGAGCAGATGAGAGTATTATCTTTTTCCGAAATAATCTCACTTACACTTGACTTATTAATTCCAGTTTCTTTTATTAGTCTGTAAAGCTGTCTTGTGTTTCCTATAGTCGCCGCCTTTTCCATCTCTTTTGCTTTCGTTACCCACCACTGCTCACGGTCGTTCCTTAGACTTTTTCTTAACCTAGATCTGATTTGTTTTCGCTCTTCATCATGTTCAGAACCTGATGGGACGACTTTGCGAGAATCCATCAGTGTGACAGACCTTGAAGAAATCCACTGGTTCCTTGCAACTCTGTGGTTTAAGTCACTAATAGATGTCACTGCTGTTTCCACAGCTGATTGTATGCCCTTCCAAGCAACATCTGGGTCAGCCTCGTCTTCACAACTACCTAAGTGTGACCTCAGTTGTTCCTGGAACCTACTTTTGGTTTTCTCGTTACTCAACTCAGTTCTAACGGGTCTTTTTAATGTGGCTATTTTGCGTCCAGTGAGGCGCAAGCAGATGCGTGCCCGTATTAGGGCATGGTCGGAGTCCAAGCAGGTACTCCAGAATGAGCGACAATCTTCTACCGACCCTCTCCAACGATGACTGATGGCAATATGGTCTATTTGAGTCCATCGTTGGTTTGGTGTAGGGGGTCGCCATGTTAGACGATGTCTCTCCTTATGCTTAAAATTTGTGTTTGCTAAAAATAAACGATTGTCTGAGCATAGCTGCAGCAGACGATCACCATTATCTGTTCGCTGTGTCGGAATACTAAAATATCCACCTAAATGCCTTTCTGTTTGGTTTAAGCTACCTATCTGAGCATTAAAATCACCTGCCACGAGTACTATGTCTGAGCGTTTAGCTTTCTGAAGAAGTTCAGAAAGCTTTCTGTAAAATTCATCTTTCACTTCATCTGAGCTGCAGTCAGTGGGAGCGTAGACAGAAACGACAAAAAGGCAACGACGTGTGTCCCTATCCTTCCGAGTTCTTACGCAGCCGTTCAGCCGAACAGCACATAGACGACTGTTGACGGGGATCCACTCTAGCAGTGCTTGTTCGGCCCTCATGCTTAGTGCTATGCCTACACCTGCCAGTCCACGAGAACTGGCCATCGGGTCACCAGATACACGAAGGGTGTATCTCGTTGGCTCTCCGTTCTGCCGAGGTGAGGTCAAGTGAATGACCACACTGGGATCCTGTATGCGTGTTTCAGAGACACAGCATACATCAATGGTAAGAGACTCTAGGGTTTTAGCCAAGGAAGCCTGTTGACCGATTTGACATAGAGTGCGTACGTTGAAAGCTCCAATGTGTAGTTTGGAGCGAGGTTTCAGTAGACCTGGGACAGAGTTTTGAGCACTAGAATCGTTGGCTATGGTGACACTTGAAGAGGAAGCCGAAGGAGGAAGTTTAGGGTTGAAAGTCGATGTAGGAGGAATAATAGGAATTGAAGAGGAAGGTTGATTATGAATACAGTGATCTTGGGTGCTGTTAGAGGTATGAGGGCGGTTATCACTTCCCGGTTGCCCACACCGAGGAAGGGTTCTTCTGGAGGTACCTGAAAAGGAAATTGGATTAGAGGTGGTCTCAGTGACCTGAGAGCGTGACCGCAGTGCCCAAGGGACAACTGCTTGAGGCCGGTCGCGCACGGCCTTTTCGTGGAAGGTTTTCGACGTGTTAGCTCCGTTCTTCAAAGGGCCTTACCGCCGGAGACGGAGATCCGTGAGGTAAGGTGAGGTGTGCATTTTTAGGGTCGACCTTTTCTAACCCCACCCCTCCTTGTGGGAAGGCAGCATCGCTGTCATGCTGGTTGTCTGAAGGAAACACCTTACTGCTGTCACACCTCTGTACAGTCAGCAGTACGACTTCGCCTTCGGACCTTGGGTTTGTTGCTTTTAGTCTTACCGCTCTTCAACCGACCTGTCTGACATGGTAGGACCTTGAGGAACAGTTGTTCCAGCCAGTATAGCTCGGTTGCTTCATCACGATAGGCAAGCCCGACCACCACGTCAAGGTAGCAACAACGGTCGGGTATATATATATACTCATCGTAATCAATGGTTGGAAACTCTTGGTGACATGGCTCAGAATCGATCACAATGGCGTCGGTGTGTACACTATGTCTTCCTTTAAACTATGAGATTAAAACCGCTTCATATCTTTCTGCGTACTAATTCTTTCCTCCTGTACTATATCCTTATATGCAATCTTTCTTTTATATATTACCGTCATTGAATTAACTACTTCTATGAACCCGGTGTTCATTTCGCTGTGCTAATGAGGCATGGCAACTTAGACCGATACATATATGTGCCTGGTCCTACGTTGTAGCTGACTGACTGACTGATTCAACACTGATGTGAGCTACAGTGTATTCACGAATAACCTTTCATATAACAGGTGTAATAATAACACAAATTAATACGTGCACAAACCTATGTACTAAAGTTAACCATTAGTGTCTGACTGTCTCACTCTAAATTACAGCTTGAAGCTGAATAATGTAGGTAGAAATCTCATGTGGCGGGGGAGACGTAATTCTCTTAGTACTGTAGATAAGCTTTGTTAACGAGCCCGAACCAGCACAAACATCAGACCCAGCACCACCACCAATCCATGTGGAAATATTTTATAGGGATAACATAAAAACACCCATAAATATACAGGACTATTGAAAGGTGTAATAATGAATCAAAATGTTCACGTTATCCTCATCCCCTGATCTCATCTTCATAACTCACCTGTGACTTATGATCTGAGAATCGATCAATAATAAAACGTGCTGTAAATGATAATAACAGTAATAAAAGAAATTTAGTGGAATATATTATCCATGATGAAATCTTTGACGATTGATCGGCAAAATTTAAATGATATAATGTAGATGGTATATCCCAATTTATAAGTAGACCGCAAGTAATAAGAATTAATGGTGGAAGCATAATTGTTATTCGTTGACGCCATACAGGTGAATAATGTAGCATTGATAAGCCTAAACGCGAGAAACGGTGCGACGAATTCATTATACTCTGTACATTTGCCATTTGTTTGACACGATCTGTTAACCATGGAACTACACGAACCTTGAAAATATTTATAGACAGAGGTATGAAAGTTGATAGTATAAGACAGTAACAAGTTCACCATATTTGCAAATAGAAATGAACATAAGTTACACAAATTTCATAACACTAGGACAATTAACACAATGTTGAGTTTCCCCATAAAATAACTTGAAAATTATAACATTCATTTAGTATTAAACACTAATGAGGTGTTTAGATTAAATGGATCATTGCAGATACTGGTAGGAATCCTCGGACAGATTTCTGCTTACTGTATTATCCCTTATTAACAAAGTGTGTTAAGCGGTGGATTAGTACTTAACACATTCGATTTTAATCTGTCACTTGGTCGGAGCTTTAGACTCTGCCTCAGAAGTTGGATTGTATTGCCAGCGTTAGCACACAATGAACGGTCGAAAATCTGAGTACATGAATCGCATAAACTTAGCAAGCTAGATACACCTATTTTTCTCATTTTATATGCTTATTCGTACTCAGAAAGCAGTTTTCTGTGAGTTAATTGTGAGACTGATTAGTAAAAGTGACATGTATTAGAGAACTCAATACGTCACACCAAAACTTAAGATAATCTATGTTATTACTTAAGCAACTCTGGATATTGATTCGTTTAATAGTCATAGCAAGCGTAACACTGAAAAGTATGGGAACTTTTACAATGAACCATTTAGTCTATTAAGATGAAATCAGCTAAGAATTTCAAACTTTAACAATAACAAAACTACTGTCTGAACAAAAGTTGGTTATTGTAACTCAGTAGTCTAATTAAATGACCACTGTTTGATTAGAAAGACTGACCCTATTTTAAATTTTAACAATATGATCTACGAAATATTTCAAAGTGGAAAGTTCCACATCAGTTTATTCGCATACATCCATTCAATCTCTCCAATTTTTAAAAGTGATCGACTCTACTGAACAGAAACATTTTGGATTCTCTGTTAGCCTTCAGAGCATTTGAATTGGAAAGTTAAGTGTGGAAGTCGGTACAATGTAAAAATCCCCAGTCATTTCTAAGACACCTAAGTATAATTATCAACTAAATCGAATGAAAATGCTTTATGAATAAAGTAGTCAAGTTTTACTAATCTAGGTTGACCAACTATTCAACTAACAGGTCAAAGGTTTGTTGCTTCGAATTCAAATTGAAGCATTTAATTTTGTGTAGACAGGATAACTTTATGAACTGAGCTTGATGTACATTATGCTACTTAACAACGAAGTTTAATTAAAGATGTTGAATGCATAAAATTCTAACATTTGTTTTATGCTGCTCTTTCTAAACAGAACTGTACAATCATGGCTACAAAGTTATTGTTTCAAGCTTCCACGCTTTTTCATCGAGTCCAACACCGATTATTGAAATTGGAGGATTAAAAGCAATTTGTATATACTAATGAAAAGAAAGTTACCTCATACGGTGTTTTGTTTTCATCATTCAATGCATTCCAGTCAATATCACCCTTATCTAATTGTACGACAGCTTGGAAATTAGCGAACTGAACAGAATAATGTGCTGCAGTGTTGCCATGTGAATCAGTTAATCGCAAATTTGCACCATATGAGATTAACAAACGAAAAATATCAACTGATCGTACATGCATACAAGCTATCATTAATGGAGTGAGCCCATTACCATCTCGACTAAAATGTTGAAAAGGAAAGTCATAATTATTGCCACAGTCAAGAAAATTGCAGATGATTGAAATGAAAAACCTCAAAAAACAGGACATTTTAAGTGACTGAACACTACGTAGTTAGTTATACCATTTTTGATCACATGTACCCAATATTTTCAGTCACTAACTGAAATCTTTTAGAAGACCCTGAGTTTATTGTTTTAGTAGAGTTATGGCTACTGTTACAATGACATAATGGAGAAGCCATAGAATTCCAAAGAAAGTGTTATGAACATTATAATGATGTCTAGTAAACCCAGATCGTGAGTTTGTTGTTCTAGTTAAGGGTATGAATTTCAATTATTAAACTACGGATAAGATACTGTCACAGTTATAGTGACCCTGATAACCAAATTTCATCCCTCACACAAAAGGTTACCTTTATTAAGATTGTTATTATGCAAACCGACAACCCTAGTAATTTCCATGTAACTTCTGGCAACCATACACAAAGCCTATACAAGTACTAGGTTTTAAGCCATATGTATAGTGTCATGAAGATACTATATACATTTAAAATCTAGATAATGCTGGATCAAAGACTGATAGTCAAATTGCTGAAATACGGACATGCGAGTTTATTTGTATCAATTGAGACACAAATAAAATTATCATAGAAATTAATCAAATATATATTAATCATTAGACACGCATAAAACTTTGTATTTAAAAGCCGGAAATGAAACAAACCCGTCAGCCTAAAGCCTTACACAAATGTACGTTAGCTGAAGTCCCCATACCAAATACGTAAACGACGAGGTTAATAATATTATGCTGAAATAACTGGTACGAGTCTGCGGTAATTGTATATTACAAAAAAATATAATCTGGTAATCATGAATATGCGTGCTTATGTACTTACGTATCAACATTGACCCCATGAGAAAGCAAATAAACGATAATTGGGACATTTCCCATTTGTATTGCAACATGAAAACATCCTAGACCAGTATTATCCATAAACGTTGGATCAGCGCCCCTTTGCATAAGGAAGTGTACCATACTTAAGTGTGATTGCTTAATAGCCCAGTGAAGTGGGGTTGCAGCAAGATGACCACCTGGTCTATCTATTATTGCACCTTTCGATAGAAGATAACGAGCAATCGCTAAACGGTTGTTTATGGCGGCCCAGTGTAGCAGCGAGACATCCTCATCATCCAGTTGGTTGACATCATAACCCGCTAGTTGTGGATCTGATGGTTCCACCAACTCAATGACTCGTTTTGTAATTCCATACTGAACAGCTTTGACTATTCCCCATGTTGAATAGTCTGTTTCAACAACTGGTGGGTCAGAATAAGATGGATCAACTGGATAAGGCTTGACATCCTAAAAAATGCGTAGATATTAGAAAGAACATAATTAGCCCAACAAAAAATTTTTAAACTTAGTTTTTATATCATGACTAAATATAACTTCTACAGCTTATTTTCTTGGTGGAGTTTTGTTCTCTGATCTGGATGGTTTGGTTGTGGAGATTTCATCGTTCTTCTCAATAACATCATCAGCACAAACGTCTACCTGAAGTTCGTGCTGATGATGTTGTTCAGAGAAACGATGAAAGCTCCAAGACCAAGCCATCCAGCTCAGAGAACAAAACCACCAAATTCACCCACCTGAGTTACAAATACTCCCCACTACCTCAATTTATTTTGCTTGTTGCCCGTTTCAGTTAATACTAGTGATAAGGCTTTTAATTTACTGAATGGTAAAAACTGAACTTTACCTTGTGATTACTCAGCAAGCTGATCGAAAATTAGATTATTTCACTGACGGAGCATCAAGGTTTTGATAATTGATTGCCTTCATACGGTAGCAACTTCGTTGTCGTTGTGGTCAGATAGAGCCATTACAAAGACCCGACTGACATATAGTGACTGAAACACTTTTTTTCAAGTCCTCTCACAATAAAACTTAATTTAACGCATAGTGGAACGTACATCATATGACACTAGAGTCAGTGAAAATTTAAAATTAGAGCTTTTGTAAATTCTAATTATTCAGAGAAAGTCTGTCTTGAGTAACAAAGTTAACAGGCACACTAAAAATGTCAACTTTTGTAGGGAACGTATATGATTTTCGTAATTTTTGCTTAAGAATTTTCTTAACGTAATAAAGTGCATTATACCACTGGGCTAGAGTAGGAACATTAGAAGAAAGATAACATTCCATAGGATGTCGTATGAAATTGGAAACGCAATGAAAGATGGCTTATGTGTAATTATGAAATAAGTGAATAGATGCCAATGTTTGAATTTTACAATCTATGAAATTGATTCTTAAAAATCTACTATTTAACTAAATGGTAAGTATGACAGTGTGCTCAAGCCAAAACAACAAGAAATTCCTGCTCATGATACAGATTGTGTTAAAGTATTTGATAGGATTAAATGGACGAGACTATAATTTATGGATGAACCAATAAGATTGAAGACAGCAAGTTTGGGATTTCGTCGCGAAATTCACTAATTTATATATGGTTAAATAGCATTCTGGCATTATAGCTTACGTCAGTTTGCGATAAAAACCCTAAATTCCAGATCTCAATGCCAATCCTGGTTCCTCGTGCTAATTTATAACCCTCTCCTGACACCCGTTAGAGTAAATTTTCTGTCACTTTAGCGTCACCCCGCCTTCTCGTGGCGGGGGTGTTGTTTACGAAAATGAGAGGGCGAAAAGCGAATGTCCGGCGCTTTAACCGGATTCCAAACCAATGGTGCACATGGGCTCCAGTATCCTGCGGGAACAAAGAGCGTATGAACCAATCGTTGGTCACCGGCTACCATGGGACTGCATCTCCTTACGATGCTCCACTGCCTTGTGGATCAGACCTTCAGGTCGAAGGCTCGGGGTGTGGCCCCCTAAGATAACCACCTGCTTCGGTCTGGGCATCCGAGCAGTATCACAGCCCGCACACAAATATGAGGAACTGTCGATAATTATGGAAAATACTTTTCTTGATTCAACTATTAATCAAACGATTCACATTATTATTATTACTATTGTTATTATTTACTACGTCATTTATTCACTCTCATTTATTCCTACTCTGTCTATCCTTATTTTTCGACTTATACAGCAGCTCGTCTATGGTGGAAATTCGGTTCAATCTAAACGTTCTCGAGTAGAGACGTTATCAGATATGGCTCAGAATAGAAGCCAGTGGCTATTCTGCTGTAACCTTTTACTTTCTTCATAAGTGGTTGCTTCTACCTTAACTGAAAGATCTCTTCTGAGTGTACGTTTCTGTTTCCCCCATTATTATTACGCTACCTTACACTAATCTGTTCGTTATCGTTTTTTTTACGCCCCTTGCCTTTTTTTCCTTCTCTGCAAATTCTGTGTTTTTTGTGGCGCATATATATTTGGTGCCCTCCTGTACCAATATTTATGTGTTTAAATAAATAAATAAATAAATAAAGGTAGTCCGTAAATTATAGTCTCATTATTAAATCCAGAGTCTGAGGCGATTGGGCAGTACGATAATATTTTCCCAATCTGTCGTGACCATAAATTACATACTTAACCTCTCAAAGTTTATAAACAAGTGTCAGAGTTTTGTTGAGTAGTAGCTGATGTTAATTCTTAACAAAAAAACAGGGATAAAACGCAACCTCACAGCACAAGCATGACCTTCAATATGTATAATTAACCTTTTTATTTCACCTTAATGAATCGTCCAACATTTTAAAGCTGATATGTATCTTATCTTTTTGCTGCCCGTAGCACCGATAACCTTCGAAGCCAGAGAAACAAGGTTCAAAACTGCGAACTAATAAACTCGGTGTGGGGTCCCGTATTTCTCATTGAGTAGTCAATGACTGGGACGCCCTACACAAACAACTGCTATCAACGCCACCATTTAACATTATCAAGAAGAAGCTGGTCTTTTATTGAAGAACAATTTGCAAGAATTAACGTCAGTCAGTAACGAGGTAGAACTTCGTACGTACGTACGTACGTACATCAGTTCGAGTTGCCACACCACTTTAGCACAGAGATGCAGTTGTCCATTCAAATCCCGTAGTGGTAGAGGTAGTAAGAGTATAAGCAGTAATCGGGAAGATTAGGGTTTGGAGATGTTATTTAAGGAGTATAATTGAGTGAAATAAATTTGGAAAGAGGAAACAGAAAGGGACATGAAGAATTCAGAAGATTAGAATTTGAGAGAACACAAAGAGTGGATGCACCTGAGCCATTGAAAACGATTTTGAGCCATGTCATTCAGGGTCTCTAACCATCGGTTGCTATCATCTCATGGTCCCCAACCAGGTAGTCTACACCTACCAACATCACTCAGTCCACTTGTTAGTGACTTCATGGACTTCTGCCATGTTTTGGTTTGGCCGCCAAGAATTAACGTAGATTGATCAACCTATCACATTTATTACTAAAGGCTGAATAGTAATGAATTGCTCTGAAACAACCATTCACCGAGATCCTATAAATTTTCACTGGCAATTTTTGCTTTAAAATTAATTCCTTGTTAGCTATTATTTCATTTAAAATAGTTAATTTAGTATATTTATACTATTCACAAATCTGCATCCAGACGCAAGTTGTTGTTCTGAAAATTCCTTAATGGGATAATAGAGAGCCCTGTCGAACTACAGTGTGTGCTTCAATGTCAAAATTCGATGTAGAACAAGTGAATTTAAAAAGCAACGAATATAATATTAGAAGTCTTATAATAGTGACCGTATAAAATGAGTATTCAGAGAACAAAAACAAACCAACATCGAATTATGAAAGCAATTTTCAAAATTTTAAGGCTGACTAGTTTTGGGGATAGACTGGCAGAAAATAAAAGCAGACTGTTTTGCAGTAAAAACACGATACAACCTTCATCTCCAGTTACGCCGATTTTGAAAGCTCGTCAAGCTCATCTCCATTCAATATACAATGCCAACCGGACTATTTCAATAGATTCCTTGTCGCAGAATGGTCTTTTCAGGGAAAATCAGTGTCGCCCAAAGTTAGAGAAGTTGTTCAATTACAAAAACGTATTACGTTTCAAATGGTTTAAATGGTTCAAATGGTTGTGGACGGAATGGAAGAAGCTTTCGCTTAACAGGCTTCCGTGTCTAGTAGCAGGGGATCACCAAATCCTCCAGGCAGGAACCTAGGTATGTTAACAATAAAAGAGGAAAAGAAATTGGTAAATCATAGTGTGATGCTGTCCTTCGTCCTTAAGAATAAATCAAGTTGCCTCTTGAAGGACTCCTGAGAAGTCGCTTGGACTAGCTCGGCCGGCAGCGAATTCCAGCTTTTGTTAAGGATACTATAAGCCATCAGAAGGTCACCTCTAAGTTGTCTATACTCTAATGGGTAAAGGTTAAGTGAATGGAGGTGCTCTTCGTAAGGTTTAAATTTGAGTCGTCGAACTGATTTCGTGGCTCGCCGTTGGATACGCTCCAGAGTGTCCTTATCCTTTTGGAGTGAGGGGGAAATACTATGTTTCCGTACTCTAAATGCGGACGGATAAAACTATTGAAGATTGTGTGGAAAGTTCGTCCGTCAAACTGGCAAAAATGCGCTTCAACGTTACCAGTGCAAGGTTTGCTCGGAAGGCATTTTTGTCACAGTTAGCGTAAGACTTTAATTCATGGGGCACCAAGACTCCTAAATCTTTTTCGTCTTGGGATACTACTAGAGGGGAGTTTCCTAAGTTGTAACTGTAGTTTGCGACATGTCGCAGATGGACTACTTTACACTTTGAAGTGTTAAAGGTAAGTCCGTTATCGTCTGCCCAACTTTGAAGTCGAGTCAGATCCTCCTGAAGTGTCTGTATATCGTCTTGGTTGCGTATCTCTCTCCAAAGTTTCACGTCGTCGGCAAAAAGTAATAAGTCTGACGTTACCTGTTGAGGAAGATCATTTATGTAGATCAAGAAGAGAAGAGGTCCTAGTACTGAGCCCTGGGGGACCTCACTAAGACATTCCATAGCCTGAGATAAAGTGGAATTAACCCTAACCTTAAAGTGTCGCTTTTTCAGGTACGAAGTAAGGTAATCGATTAGAGGCGGTGTGATACCCAATCGTCTGAGCTTATTGATAAGACATGTATGGTTAACCTTATCAAAAGCTTTTGAGAAATCTAAGTAGATGATATCAACCTTCCTCTTGTGATCAAGAATGCTTGTCCATCTGTCCACCGCAGTCAGCAGGTTGGTGATACAAGAGTAACCCTTACTGAAACCATGCTGTTGGGGTGAGAAGAAATTTAAGGACAGTAAATAGTCATTTATACCATCACATATCAAGGACTCCATGATTTTCGAGGGTATTGAGAGAAGAGCCACCGGTCGGTAACTTGAAGATTCTCCTCGTCGACCTCCTTTGAAAATTGGTGTGATGTGAGCCAGCCTCCAATTTGCCGGTAGTGTTCCTCGACTTAGCGAGTGTGAGAACATCACGCTAAGCGGCGTTGCCAAGACTGAGGCTGCTACCCTCAGTATGGCGGAATGGACCATGTTCGGGCCAGGAGAAGTGTCTAATCTTAAATGCTGCAGTTTCCGGAACACCAAGTCAGCGCTTAGGTTCGCTTCGGAAAGTTTTGTGGAATTGCAAACGAAACTGTCATCAGTAAAGTTAATGTCGGTCGGTTGAAATGTCTGGGAGTAATGTTCAGCCAGAAGGTTAGCGGCGTCGCCATCGTTGTTGGTCGGGCCGTTAAGACCTAGCAGTTGGGAAACTCCTGTTTTGGCTTGACGAAGAGAGGCTGCATAACGGAATAAGCCTTTATGATTGGAGACAAATTTGTCCATACGCTTTGTTTGGTACTGAAGCCTATCTTCTCTTATAGCCTTCGTGCATATGTTCCTGATATGTTTATATTGCCTGTTCGCTCCGTCGCTGTCAGTTCGTTTGTATTCCGCCCAACAGTGCCTTTTGCGGCTTAGCAGGTGAAGGGTACGGTTCTTGGTTATTGTAGGTGGATTGCAGCTTGTGGCACGTAAGAGCGTGTGCAGTAAGAAGTCCAAATGACAGTCCACATCGAGTTGGTTAACTACGTTGGGACTGTTATAATAATTGAGAAACTACAAAGCTGCATTCAGTTTTCAGTAATAAGGATAGTAGGTTGGTGAACCTGTATTAATCCTGACAGATTGCCTTCCAGTGAAGATCCAATTTCTTCTTGAAAATATTCACTGATGAGGCTGATACCACTTGCTCGGGTAAGGCATTCCAACGACTAACTACTTGATGAGAAAAACGGGACCCCACTTTAAGTTTATTAGATCGCGGTTTATGAACCTTCTTGCTATGACCACAGAGATTATTAGTGCTGGAGCGAGGAAACAGATAAGACATATTCCCACATAAATCGTAATTGAAGATACGAAATGCCAGTATAAGGTCACCTCGTGTCCTACGATACGACAAGGGGAAAAGATTTAGGCGTTTTAAACGCTAATCGTAAGAGAGTCTGGAAAGACCCTTCACTACTTTCGTTCCCACGCGCTGGACACGCTCAAGGGAGTTAGTATCCTTTACCAGACACGGGCTAGCTGCTTGGATACAGTATTCTAAATGTGGTCTTACATAGGTGGGATATAAAATTCGAAACGTTTCCTCGTCAAAAGATTTGAACGCTCGGCGAAGTGATCATAACGCACGAAAACCTTTGACAGAGACTGCTTTGCAATGCGTAGTTGTTTTTAAATCATGACTTAGTACTACTTTTAAGTCTTTATGATCTTGAACGCAAGGAAGAGGTTTACCCTCAATAGTGTAACGGTAACTATTACCGTGACCGATGTGCATTAGTGCACTCTTCCTAGCATTGATTTCTAAGTCTCAACCTTGAGCCCATCTAACTAAATCGTTTAAGTCAGCTTGAAGATCCAGATGATCAGCCGCACTTTTTATTTTTCTCCCGATTTTACATCATCCGCAAACAATAAAGTTCGACGACCTAAGTAACAGCGGCAACTCGTTAATGTAGAGAAGGAAGAGTGGAGGGCCTAAGATGGTGCCTTGTGGTACACCACTTTTGACCGGCTTCCAATTAGATAACGTCCCACTGACCCTTGCTCTCTGTCTGCGGTCACACAAGAAGTTTCCTAATCACTCCTGTACAGTACCTATTATTCGGAAGCTCGTGAGCTTTTGCATAAGTCCTAAGTGCGAAACCTTGTCAAATGTTTTGCTAACATCTATGAGTATCATATCGACAGACAGACCGTTATCTAGGGCTGTTTTACAATCCTCTCTCGCAATAAGTTAGTCAAGCAAGAATGCCTGTTACAAAATCCATTTTCCTCGGGAGCCAGCAGATTGTGTGAATCTATGTAGCTTAGCAGCCTAACCCGAACTATCTTTTCAACTCAACGACAATGCTAGTAGGACTGACAGGCCGGTAGTTACATACTATTTGTCTCTGACCATCCTAAATATAGGACCGACTATAGCGTCCTTCCAATCTCTAGGGAGTTGGGCGAGTGAAAGGGACATGTTGAAGAGTGTCGCAAGCAGTTTTGAAATAATGTCCGCAAGAGATGACAGCAACCGTGGATGCAACCCGTCAGGGACCGGTGTCTTATCAGGTTTGAGGATAGTTATCAACGGAAGGACAGTTTCCCCAGTCACCTGTACAGATTTCATGGTTGGTATTTCGGTGTGAGTGGGACAAGTATTTGTTACAATAAACGTAGAGAAGACTTCGCTAAAATAGTCTGAAAAAGTCTCAGCTTTTGCTCGATCCGATTCAGCTAGTAAATCTAAATTTTCGTGCAACAGTAACGGGGGAATACCATCACTACGTTTCATTCGCCGTTTAACATACGAAAACAGTCGTTTCGGACAAGTACGGCTATCATATACCAACCGTCGTTCGTAAGTAGTACGGGATTCAGCTATGGTTTTCTTACAAATATTCCGGAATTTTCGGTACTCACGCTTAAATAATGCTAGAATAAGTCCCAGAAGTGCTTCCTACGCTTTGACAGCTCACGGGTTTCCTTATTAACCATGGAGGGCATGGTGATGGCTTACGTGCTGACCATGGGATGAACGGCGACGTTACGGACTCGAATGTAGCCTTAAACTCATTCCGTTCGCCTTTGATCGATCCATCCGCGTCAACAGTGACGGATCATGATTGAAGTCAATATGTGTCGGCTTGTGATACATTGTACAAGTGCACACTGAATAACGGTAAATAAAAGGTCGCTATCGAAACCACCTGGAGCTGTAAGCTCTATCCAGTTGATATGCGGTGCGTTGAAGTCCCCAATGATGAGACAACATTCTGCCATACTCCAAGAACAGATGTGTCTTAAGATAAAGTCGTCAGCAAGACAAAACGGACTACGGTATATTCCCCCTATAGTCACTAACCCATTTCCAGATTTAATCTTACAACATGCTACCTCATATGTACCACTGATATGAGCCTCTGATATTGTTGATTGTATACGAAAGTGACCCCTAACGTTTAACATTATGCTTCCCTCTTGCGACTTAAAAATCTATCACTCCTAATACGGATGTAGCCTGTGGTGATGGGAGAACATTCTACATCTACTGTAAACCAAGTTTCTGTAACAACACGTATATTGGGACTTAATTCATCCACCATCAGACTTCGTTCGGACGTTTTATTTCTAAGACTACGGACGTTCGTGTGGCACACACTTTAGGTGTTTTGGCAATCATTCGTTCTACCCATACAGGCCTCAGAAGCATTGGCATCCAAGACCTGACTACCTGAAAACCCTTAATGGTAAGATTATTTTCGCAATTTAACTTGCGAGTCCTCAACTCCGTAAGAGCATTCTCCCACTTGATTCGATCCTCAAGCGGCCATTCTGGTCGGATACGATTATTTGAATCACGGGTTTTTTGTGTCTTTCAATAATATATCTCTTCAAAATTCCCGAGAAC